AAACACACCCGGCCATACTTGCCCATAATACGAGTACCAGCACTCATAACTGAGCCATTTTCGCGCAAACCCCATTGTGTCGCAGCATCGTCTACGCTGCTTCGTCAAAGCTCCCATGACGCAACCAATCAAGATCTTAATCTGACCAATTAGCCGCAGATCGCATTAGACGATGGTCAATCTAGATCTATACGTAGTCTCTGCTGCATGCAAATCGGCCGATTCTCTTTGCAACAGCCATTGTCTGATACAATGAACTTGTTGTATAGCAGAATGGTCACTGCGTCGGCGGACCCCCGTAATTTTTCGTAACTTGGCTGCCTCGTCAAAAAATGCAGCTTGCGACGGGGCGACAGCCTTCGTACAGGAGGTGGAAATATAAGCCAACGGCGTGCCCCCTATCCCAACTTCATCTTCAACATCATGCCCGTCCTCCCCTGCAACAACTTCAAGCGTCAATACCGTAACACCAAGCGGATTGCCATCGACTCCAGACCCATGTACACCCCGCACGGCATCACCAAGGTGGAAGCGAGAAAGAGCCTTACGCCCGCCAAAAAGGGCAAGTGGCTCATTGACACCTTTGGTGCGCCTCCTGCGTTCCTCAACAATGTTGCCGTGCTCAACTCGCGAAAGGTGAACTTGTCGACCCGGAGAAAGCAGTGGAACAAGCCAACCCCGGTGATTCCGACCCCGGTAATCCTCACGCCGTTGAACCCCAGAAAGCGGCGTACTGCAGAAGAAGATGACGACGGCAGTGCCACCTCTCTTCCAAAGAGAGCCCGTGGTAAGTGGGCGAGTTCCCCAGCGAAAGTTAAGAAGCACTTATTCATTAAGCACCCGATGCACCCGCAGCTTGGCGGGCGTCGGACTCCCTGGAGTCTGCCCACCCCCTACACTCCAACGATGTTGGGCGTTTTGAGCGAGATCGCTCGGCGGTGGAAGCAGCAGTTTAGTGGGGGCTCTTCTGGTATGATCACCAAGAGCACCATCAACTGGTGGATTTCCTTGTTCCCCAACTTGGTTCCCAACCCCGCTGGCCGTGACTGGTGGACCGTGTGCTTGTCGGGTTGGGTTTCCATCGACACCAGCAACTCCATGGTCATCTGTTCGCTTTTCCCTAGCATCGAGTTTGAGGAGCTTGCCAAGCTCTGTAAGGCTGTCAAAGACATGGGAGATCGCGAAATGACCATGACCTACGCCGATCACGACACAACCAAAGACGACGAAGATCATGACACCACTATGGACGACGTCGATTACGACACCACCATGGACGACGGTCTGGACGATATGGAGAAGGACCCACTCGGCTTTGCCCACCCCTTCTTCAACGCGGTAACGTACCCGTTCTTCAGTCTTGATCAGAACAAGTTACGCGCGTACTCGCGGCAATGAACCTCGAGAAGAACACCAACCAATGACCAGATCCGTGCCGTGTCAGCAACGCCGTTACGAAAAGGCTGCTTAACCAATCAGCAGAGCGCGTTGCCAAAAATTATCCGACTGGTAAGGAGGGTGCACACCAACCTTCTTCCTTTCGATGAGCCGACCCAATTGAGAAGTTAAAGAGATTAGAGAGACGTGACCCAAAAAACCAAAAAAAAAAAAAAGAGCCAACAGAGCCATTCAAATTCAAAA